TATTCCAACAACCAGAGTGGCAACGTTCAATACTGCTCAGGTGACGTTCTGAGGACCTTCTTGTGATACAATTTTAAAATCCAACTGGAGCCGGGGATAGAGCACAGTGGCACAGCACCTGCCTCGCAAGAACAAGGTCCTGAGTTCAATTCTCGATACAAAAAAATAACATAAAATCCAGCTGAAATCCCCAAATCACTTTTTCCTCTTCATTTGACTAGCATAATTTTGACAGTCATATTTATATTTGTTCTAGCAAGTAGTAATTTGCTGTTTATAAAGACAACAGTTTTGAAGTTAGTGTTTTGGAGTCAATTGTGAACTCATTTTTTAATGTATAAGGATCAGAAATAAATATTTCTTTTAATTATACAAGGAACCAATTCTATCATTATTTCCAATCAGTCACAGATTTCCCTACCCTACCTGAAAGCTACAGGCATGGCCCCATCCATTCTGGATTGCTCTGTCTGTCTGAGATGTGTTAACCTGAATCTTTTCCAAGTGCCTGTTTCTTCTAAATCACATTCCCAAGCTGTTATGTGTGCTCACTATTAAGGACAGGAGCCTGGAGCTCACTTTTGCTTTCCACTGGGGTACACAAAGCCAATCCAGTCTATTTTCTAATCCACTTCCCTAAGAACAGATGGTGGTGGTACAATCACTCAAGTGACTTCATTCAGTTTCTTTGGTGGAGTCTATTCTGTTCACAGCTGATTAGTTGTCTATTTAGAAAGGTCCTTGTGGATTTTGTGGCCACCAAAATGTTGACGGTGTTAATCCTAAACACTGGTCCCTCTGCATCACTCTTTAATAAAACATTTTTTTTTTTTAAATGCTGAGAAAAAGGCATCACAAACCTCCCAATCCTTGCCCATTCCCCAGGACCTACCAGCCGTAAATACGTTCTTGCCAGTTGCCCTGGAAGTACAGGCAACTTGTGCAAATGTTTTACAGAAAGAAGAGGGGCAAGCTAGCTAAATTCTTCCCCGGGGACTGGGGATCAGGGGAAGTTGATTACTCAGCCTGAGTCAGCTGACCCGCTCACTCGCAATGCAGGACTGTACAGAAACCCAAAAGAGGTCTTCATAGAGTCCCTGAGGTAATATGTGGGATAAATAATTCTTCTGTAAATATGGGCTAGAAATCACTTTTAACTTGAATTCTATGCTGACCTCTGGAGGCCGAAGCAGAAGCTTGGTCGCTGGAAGGGGCCGGGGGCCAGCCCTGGCGTGACTGTGAGCTCTTCCTGCAACGGGGGGGAAGAGCCGAGGACCCTCAGAGGCAAGGCCATAACCCAGCCCCACTCACTTCTGAATCGAGCAAGTCTGCTACGGGAGGGCACCTGAACACACACTCGCTTCAATGGGGGAATGGTATGGGAGTTAAGAATAATTCCATTTACCCAATTAATAATTATAATTTTAAGAAATAAAACAGCACCTTGGGAAAAAAAAATAAACAAAAAGCAAATTGTGAACAAAACAATTTTTCAATTTCATAGGTTAAAACAAGGTCTGTGAGGACAGAACTAAATTATATAGCTGCTATTAGAAGCATTATGCTTTACTTCATAATTGGATGTAACACACTCAGCCTTACTACGGCGTGAACAGCAGCAGCGTGAGTGGAGTTCAGACTGTTTACCCTTTACAGTATCCACAATTATCAACAGCACACCACACAGATTATAAGCACCAGCCACTTGTAATGTGGCATTTTGAATGATAAGCAGAAGTGCAGTATGGCCGTGCTTTTAACACAATGTACTGACTTGTACTGTGCTCAAGCCTATTTTCATGACTAAGTACAAAAATATGGAAAATAAACACTCTGGTTGCTTCGCAAATGTTAACAAATTAAAAAAAAAAAAACACCTGAGCATGGCCTATAAAATCATATTTCAAAAATATTTGCATGAATGAGAGTATTTTCATCTACTAACTTCAAGCCAGCTGTAATCTCGGAGGCAGCCTGTCCCTTGCTAAAGCATTTGCTATTTTGACATCCGCAGGGGTTTGCACTGTCCTAACATCCTAAGGGGTAGTGCTTTGATTCCCAGCCTGGTGGCGACCAAGAGGCTGGGAAAGAGAGGGGAGGCTTTTATTTTTCTTCCTGTTGCCTGGACTAGCAGAAAGGCAGGGTTTTAAAAACATGCTACACCTTTGCCTGCCTGGCTCCTGAGCACGCCGGCTGCATGGTGTGGGCACGGTTTAACAAAAGCACTGGCAGAAAGTGCAGAATGGTACCGTTTTGATTACAGGCTTGCTTTTTAACGGAAATAAAATTTCACAGTTAACAATGAGAGGTGAAAAGTTTAAGAGGCAAAGCTGCTCCTCCTGATCACTGACTGTTAATCAGCTTCATGGGTGGTTGCCTAAATCTGTAGATTTTTTTTTTTTTTTAAACCTTGCACTACTGCCAAGATTGTAACTAATTTTTTCCCCTGTTGTAAGAGGAGGGGTGAAAAACTCGGCGTAGAAGGCAGCTGTGTATGAGTGACGCGAAGCACTAATGCAGAGGGCAAAATTAAAATTCATGAATCTCTTCACAACCATTTGTGTAACAAGATTAAGACGGGACAGCGGAAAAGAGCGGCATTATCAGGCGTCTTACAGTCCTCCAGCTGGTTACGCTCTATTCCAACACAGTAGGGCTAAGAGGATAACACGCAGCCCGGAGGAAAGCGCTGTCCTCCATCGGGGAGCAGGCGCGTCCCAGGGACCACGGGGCTTTGGCCAGAGATGGAGAGCAAGAAAGCCGATTGCCGCTCAAGATGGGAAACTTTTAAGCCCCGGCTATTAGCACGCCGCCAACAAAAGCCGCCGGGGTGGAGGTGCCCGGCAGCCGCGTGGCCCTTCCACGTCCCGCAGTCGCGACGGCGGCGGCAGCGGCGGAGGGGACAGCGGACCTCCCGCCCCACCCCTGCCAAAGGGCGCTGGGGCACAGCGGCGCTCCCCGCTCCCTGCTTCTCCGCGCCTGTCCCTTTTCTGGCAAAGGAGGACAAGTCCAGTGCGAGCAGGAGCTGGGTCGCTGGTGGGTGTCGAGCAGTCAGCAGTGACCCTGCTGCGGGGGCGGGCACAGAAGGGCCCGAGGCTTTCTGTGGTTAGAAGCAGGATGTCAGACCACTGCACCAGCTCTCATCGTTAAAAATGTGTCTATCACGCTTATACCTTTTACCCAGGGCGCCCCAACTCGGCAGGATATGCCCCCAGGATTGTACTTCCAGAGAACAACATGCAAATCTCAGCCCTCACAACAAGGAAGAGGACTGTTCCTTAGTCCAAGGTCAGCAAGATGTGGAATTTGACTTTAAGAAATTACTAGGAGAGAAAAGGAAAGTCACATAGGTATTTACAGGAATCCATCAGTCAGCGGACGGAGTACTAACTGTGTATGGTGCACAATATAAATACGGTATGTTCAGAGATTTGCAGAATATGCCATGCTTAGTAGGATACTGGAAATAAAGAAGGGCCTGCTCTCCACTAGGAACTGACATTCAAGTTCTAGACAAAGGAGAAATGCTACCAAGGACTTGAATGTCTTGTGTGTCCCAACACACTTGAGATCTTTTGAGGGAGGAGGAGACAGAGTCTCGGGGACAATGCTGAATATCTTTGCTACGGGAAAGAACCACATCTTTGCTCTCCTGAGCTGTCACTGAGAAACTGACAGCGTTTGTTGTTTAGGGCACAAGTGAACGACATGACACTGAAGCAGCCATCACCTGATCCCTGTAGCTCTAGTCTGACCCTGGAGTGAAAGCCACCTTATCCTCTTGGCTAGAGAGACCCTTTCCTGACAGGTAAAGCCCTCAGAGCCATTCCTTTTGTTCTAGGGAGGGACCTTAAAAAGGGGAAATGTTATTCTGGAAAAGCAAATAAAAACTGAATAACATGCCATTCAATTTTTATTTTCTGTTTGTAAGCAGTGGGCCCAATTCTGCCAGTAAAGGATGGGATTTAACTCTCAGTTCACAAATGGAGGAACTAAACGGGACCCTAGGGATACAAGGAAGTAAACCCATGTCCAGAAAGTGAGAGTTTTCATTCTTTTGCTTGGAAGATCAGATCCATTTTGCATATAATTTTCAAGAGCCAAAACACTTTTACATCGTATCATAGTCCTGGATAATAAGGAATGTTATTTACATTGTCCCAGGAGAAAATTAAGGTCAGGCTTTTACTTATCTGCAGTCATAACTTGTGAAAGCATGACAAGTCAAAAGTCTCTTGCAAAGGTCAGACTAGCTCAGCAAAGGGAGATTTCTGCACAAAACTACTGAAGCGATTCATGTTTGACTAGTCACTGTGACAAGTACTAGCAAATGTGAGAACCCTCAAAAGTTTTCAGTGGAACACTTGCTTCTCAGTGTCCTATATTGCCCTACACTCATAAATAATAAAAAGGCTGATAACATTGCTTTATGTAAGCAGGCTTAGAAATCACTCTCAGATAAGTGCTTTTGACCTAAATCTTGTAGCGCCTCGATCTGACACATAACCCCACAACTGTGAAAGTCTGTATGAGATTTAACAGTCTCAAACTGCCAACTGACCCAGCCATAAAGCAGGCAGAGATAAAGATTTATAGTCCAACATGATACAATTAGACATTCACCTTTTATTTATTTCAGTGCAGCTAAGCATTTAACCTACTTAAAAGCTGAAGGTTTTTCATTAAAATACATGCACATGTTTATCATTCATTCTATGCCACCTCTTCTTGCATCTTACAAATTAGTCTATTATGAACGAAAAGATTAGTTTGTTCCAGAGAAAGGAGTAAACAGGAATGGTTTCTGTAAAGTCCTTCCAGACATGCAAAGATAAAAGATGGCTTTACCACACAAAATAATCAGATACAAATAGCTGTTCAGAAGCAACACACCTAAGGAGTACTTTAATCAAATATTTAGGTTACCTGCCAAAAAGACCATGATCTCTTCAAAATGCAATGTGGATTAAAGTGTTATCTAACACAAGCAGAAAACTAACCTTGGAGTGGAAGTTTGAAATGTGTTCATCATAATTTTCATGTCTTTGGATAGAGAAGCCAGCTCTTTCAGCTAGACTGCAAAACTGGCTTAAAGTAGTCCCTCGGCGTGGGGCAAATACCATTGCTTTCCCCTGGAACAGTAAGAAAGAAATTGACACATTTTAAAACTGGGAGGCAATCAGACATGAGACATTGGCCCAGACATTTAATGTACTACTCTGAGGAAGAAAAACTCCCCAATTGTTCTGAAGACATCTACACAGGATGGGCATTCACAGAATCGTTTAAAAGACAGCTATCTATCTATCTATCTATCTATCTATCGATTTATCTATCTATCTATCATGTCTATTTATCTCACATTCAAATGGCCAGTTACTGTGTTTTATCATTTCCAAACACTGCATATAGTAAACAAAATATGCTTGAAAGTTGGTGTTCCGAACAGCAATACGCATGGGCTCAGGTCTGATGGTTTAAGCCACCTAGACTTTAGGGTCCAGGGCAGTCCCACTCACCTGTGACTTCTTTGTATCTGTCAACATGGCCTCAACCTACTCCTGAGCATATGGCAACTGATGAGGTAAATGTTAGTCTAATATGCCTTGAAAACTCAGTACCAGGATATCCTCCATAGAGACGAGTAACAGCAACGCCCACTGAGATTCCACGTTTCAGTCCTGCCACCAGTCTCTTCCGTGACATCCCTCAACGAACTCCTCAGCTAGGAGTTATAGGATTTGGGCCCCCAACTTCATGGACGCCCTCAGAATGGTCAGCACCGCACAAAAACAGCTCCTCACAGTAGTCAAATGAAAATGCATAATGAGTATGTGCATGGCTTTCGTAAATCACCATACAATCTTATGAGATTATTGCAGTGTGGAGAATCGAGAACTCATATGAATTATATACTGGAGTTCAGAAGGCTGCCTGACATAACACTCCACAAAGACCATTTGCTAGCAAGGGGTGCATGTAGATTTTCCTTTCCGGTTCCAGATACACATAGATGGCCACATTTCCCAATCTTGCCCCCACCCCTTTTTGAAAGAGAGCTGTATGCATCTGTTGATTCCAAGTTTATACTTCAAAAGCCACTTTGGATTCTGAGGGAATCATAACAGGAGAGCCCAGTTTCTTACGGCAGGTAGTGTATCATTCACACCTATCAGCCATGTATTGAGCATCTGGAATGGGTCACTGTACACAGCACTTCTCTTCGTCCTCAAACAATCCCACGGTGAAGGGATTCTCAGGTCCGTTTTACAGGATGCTCAGAAAGGTGGGATAATTGACCCAGGTGTGGTGACGGCTACCACCGCACTAGCTGCTTCCCGAGGCCCTCCTTTCATCCCCTCAATGATCTTCTCTGCACCTTGTCAGTGAACGCTGCATTTTGCAGGTAATTACACAAGCAGTCGGAGTTTGAAGAACACAGAGAGGAACTGTGTGGTAGAAGGCTTCCCGGACTTACAGGGAGTCACCACCACTCAACGGCTACGTCTCTTCAGAACAATCAGACACAAAACCACTGAGCGGCTAAGCTAAAAGGGGCCTTGGGGACGATGTGGCCCAAGCTCCTCATCGTAAGATAGCTGGCTGGCTCAGTTTTGTCCTCTATCCAACAAGAGAACAAAGCCTGCCCGGCCTTTTTTTCCTCCAGCAAGTTGTGAGGATCAAATGAGGTGGTGAATGTGAAAATAATTTGAAAAACAAGGTCATGCAAAAGTAAGACTGGAAAAACCCACGCCACCCAAGAGTGCTTTAAAAATTCTATCCCTTCTCTCTCCCTCGCCCCGCTCCCCCTCACTCACCTGCAAGAAAATACACTGTATACTGTCTCGGACATCAAGTGTGTTTTCATACTGTGTTTACACAGACATGTATACACACAGGCACATAATTATAGCAGCACAAATCGTGCCACTACACTTAAGGTTCTGTCAGCTTTTCCAATATTAATTGCTATTTTCAGACAGTTTTCAAACTTAGCAGCAAAAATTCATTTTCATAGGAAACAAGATATAATACATGGTCTCAGCAGGAGACCAAAAGTCTCCATTTAAAAAAAAAAAAAAAGGAAGAGTAGGTCACTTTCATCACTTTTAAGAACTGGTTGCCATTCTGGATTTTTGAATAATGGAAGCTGTTTCATTTTCAAATCACCTGCAAAGATTGTCTTACAGTTATAATTGAAGAGTTGATTTTATAGCTATCATCTAAGCTATACATGATGAGGCTTACTGGGCAGCAGGTTTCTTGGTTGGGCTGATCTTTGCACTCACAAAGCACATGTTCCCTGCTTCCCACCCACTGACAACTTGGGGTGCCTGCACTCTGCCTAAATAGCTCTTTCCACACCAAACTACCTACAGCAGACGCCCTTCTCTCTCCGCTGGTACTCTCCACCCCTTCTCCTGGCTTTCTTCTTGCTCTTAGCACTTATCACCGCTGACACACATCACATCGTTGCTTGTTATTGCTGTCTCCTCCTGCTCTAAGGTACGCTCCATGACAACAGGATCTTCTGACCCTTTATTTTCTGTTTTCTCCATGCCTAGCACAATGGGTGCTCAGTCAATATGGGTCGAGAGAATAAACTAAATCCAGAGGTTGCATAATCTGAAAAATTCAAATCTTTGGGAATTCGAAGGCCACGTCCCATTGCTTATTCTTTTGAAAAGATTTTTGTCAAGAAGCTTTCACAGAGTCAACTGCTAGGGTGGAATTTCAGAGGGCAGTAGCAGTGCCCCATCCTGTCCCCACAAGAAAGAGAAAGAACAAGCATGACTTTTAATCTCTAGTTACTCTGTTATGGGTATTAAGTTTTTTTTTCTGTTTTGTTGAATGCAGACACCTTTGATATAGGGATTAATATATAGGAAGGAAAATAGTACATCATCCATTCATTCAATAAACATCTACAGAGTCCTACAGAGTGTCAGCCTCTGTCCCATGCCTAATGGATGATTTTAGAAGCATCCCCCACACCCCATCCTCCCTGAATCGCTAGAGGAGCAGGGCTTTCCATCTGTGGAGCAGTAAAACCAGAGGAATATGCCTTACAATTTAGGCTGCAAAAAAATCAAAACAAGGAAAAGAATATAGATTTCACATTAGCCCATCATTTAAAAAAATATTTTCAATTTACCAAAGCCCAACTTTCTAAGCATTCAGTCACACGATCATTTTAAACTCAGAATGAACACTCAATTGAATGTGAAGTTTTGACTGATGTGCAGAGATGTGAGGGAATTCACTTGTCCCTGGAGAGAAGAGAGAGAAGTTCCGCTATACAACAAAGATACTGTTTACACTGTAGGCTCAGTTGTTATTTTGCTAGACTACTCCATCCTCACATATTAAAGGGCATGTGCTTCTGGAACAAAATAAGTGTGCTTCAGACTTATTTGAAAAGGAGTATGCTACGCCAATTAAATGCCTTTATTTCTTTTTCATTTCCAGGCAACCAATTATTAAATACTGATTATATGCTTAAGCTTAAGATTATTTGCTGTTTTTTTAACCTGATTTCTGAGATGCTGCCTTTCCCTGCTTCTTCTCCTACAGCCCTCTCAGCTCGCCTTTTCTGGCTTTTCTTCTTCCATCTGCCCCTTAATTGTCAGAGGTCCCCAGGGCTCTGCCTACTTCTTCTGCATGTTCTATGTAATTCTAGGCAATTGTACTGAATCCGCAGCTTCACCTATCACGTAGCCATCAATAACTCTCAAGTCCATAACTATAGCACTTGCCATTGTTCAGGGCCAACACCCATATTTCCAAGTGCCTACTCATCGCTGCATGTGGGTATTCTAAAAATACCTTTAACCCGCTCTGTCTAAAATGGAATTCGGTACTTTGGATCCCAAACACTTACTTCTCAGTGTACTACTAACCAAAAGTGACACACACTTGCACAGATGAGGTGTGACTGAGAAACAAGGTGTGTTTTTAAATTAAAAACATTTATCACAGTAAAAGAGACAATGTCACAAATCCCCCTCAAAATATCCTCCTTTGCTAGGAGCACAATTATCGCCTCTTTTTTTAATTGTTATTTTTTTAGTAGGGTGCATTTGCAATACATAATGATTACATTCTTCATTGGTACATGTACATAACACATCTTAATTCCTTTTTTTTTATCCTTCCTTCCATCTATCTCTTGGTCCCCCTCCTATTTGCAAAAGATCTCCCTATTTCCTATTATCTGTCTTTTATTTTGCTCTTTATTTATTTTTGGGGTTTATCATATAAGAGAGACCTTGTGATATTTAAGTGTGTATATCTGATTTATTTCCCATTGTTTTTTCCACTTGCCAAAGCAGTTCTGGAAGTTCTCTTTCGTGAGTGTCTTTATTTGTACTGTCCTGGCGGCCTTCTTGTCATGAATTGATTCAAACATTTGCTTTTTGTGATCATTTTGACTTTAAAGGGGAGCCAGACGTTGCACAGCTGCAGATCTGTGAACAAGGTGGACGAGGACACACTGTATTTACGAGCCTGTCTTTCTGGAGGACACTCAGAAACAGCATTCACTGCATTTTTAATCAGATCTTGTGGTGGACTGATAACTGGTGGTCAACTTATAACCCTCAGCTGAACTGAGTAATTGTGGTGCTGGGTGTGGGAGGCCCACCTGAGGACTGTTGCCAGCAGCATAAGAGGCAGACCTGGAGAAGAAGAAGCAGGGCTGTTGGGAGCTGAGAGAGGCTGTTGGGAGCTGAGAGAGACCATGGGGAGCTGGCTTTCCGTTGAACTTGGCTGTTTTCATCCTCCGAGGAGCTCGGGACCTCGCTGGCACTGA